CAAAGCACCCTGTCTCAGGCGCTGGTGAGAGGAATTAATGGCTATTGCATTTGGGAGCCAGGCAATGATTAGCAATCAATGACTCTACTCCTGGAGTGATTCAATTCTTAGCTCCAGTTCTTGTAGCATCTTGAGTGTCTTATTCATTTTCAATCATCAGATAGCTATGGATGTAGCTCAGGAGGAGCAGAAGGACAGGTGGATAGAGGCATGACTGGGCAGCAAATGGTTTCTGAGCAGGGATGGAGCACCCTGAGGGTGAGCGGAGCTTGGCTGTAGGCCGGGCAGCAACACTGCCACCATGGCCCACAGCAGACCTGTGTCTTCTCTGCTGCAGGGCTCCTACTGACCTCTGCTTATCTGGTAAATAGCCTGGCTAGGCACAAAGAATGTGTGTGTGTGTGTAAATAGAAAAAAAACACCAAACAACCACCAACCTGTGCCCAGCCAGATGGGCTAAATAATCAGCAGAGGTCAGAGGGAGGCCCCCAAACATCATGGGCCAGTATAATAATAATAATAATAATAACAACAACAACAACAATAAGAATAACAACAATAATAATAATAACAACAACAACAATAATAATATTTTGCAGCACTTAGTACTTTTACATGTTCTAAGCATTTTGTGGGCATTAACTGAGGGCTGGTACTGCTTCGGAGCAAGGACGGGCATTGTCTGGTCCCTCCCAGGCCTACCAGAGAGGTGGGGCTCCAGGAGCAGGCTTTCCACAGCTTTTCCTCACTCACTGCAGCACCTGCCTGTGTATTTCCAGCCTTTTCTCCCACCTCACAGTTTTCCTCTCAAAGCTAGAGTAACTGCCTTAGGCAGACTTGCTTTAAAATTGCATTCATCTAGTGACACACCCAGGGGAGTGTGTCTATTTCACTACCACATATAGCAAATAATCACCACTGTCAGGGAGGGCAGCCAGGTAAGGAAGTGGTCCTATCTCACAAACGAAGCAGCTGGCACAGAAAGGATCACTAGCTGGTAGAGCTGGGAATGGGTTTCCCAGCTCCAACCTTCTCTTCCTGGCTTTACAATGGTATTTCTGGAGGATGACCCAGATTTCAGCATGTTCAGAGAGGCTACGAAGCTAAAAGGCACCCTGACCCTCTGTACTATCAGAAATGCTCCTTGGTTTGGATTTGGCTTACACAAAATGGGTTGTCTACACAGGAAACACAGCCAGGCTTGCAACAGCCCTAAATCCAGCCTCTGCTGGGTGTGTTATCACTGTAACTTTCGCTGCCACCTACACATGCTACAGGGCTTTAATCTGGGGCTAGGATGTACACTGGGATCCAGCAAGCTGATCCTCCTGCAGCAAAAAGAACTTGACAGGATGCTGCACAGGACTGCACACTACACCCAGCTGAAAAAGGAAGTGAAAAACTGCATGTCCACAAGCCTGATGCTGCTGCCCCTGCAGTCCCTTCCTGCACCCCACCACTGCAACTGTGTCCCTGCTCCCCTTTTGCACTGCTGCTGCAAGGGACTGAACAGTGGGTGCAGATACCCAGCTGTGGTAGCAGCAGGGAAGATGTGAGAGGAAGAGGTGGGGAAACATGCTGGAGGAGATGGCAGCCATTGCCTCCAAGAAGCTCGAAAGGTTTGAAAAAAACTGGTTCGCATACAGAACTGAAACTGAACGAAGGGGAACTCACTGAGACCACTAAGTGGTGGCCACCAGATATATAAAGCTTCTTCTGCATGTCATGTGCAGCTGGGCATAAGGAGTGTGACTGCAGCTTGCACAGAACTACCCGTGACAGCTTTGAAACAGGGCTTTTGAACACTTGTGAGCACTACTAGGTACAGCTGCAGCAGCCAAGAGGTCGGCATGGGCTAGAAACCCCCCAATAACCCAAGGAATATCTGGGGCATTCGAGTAGGGAGCAGGCATGATTGGTGTCCCTGTCAGCCCTAGCTAGACAGCAAGTAGGCCCAGAGCCAGGGATTTAAGACTATTTCCGGAACTAGTCAAGACTGGGCAGGAGCTGCAATTGTGATCTTGTGGACAGACATACAGAGCTATTACACAACCTCCATCCAGGCTACCCACTTCTCAGCAAGCATTTAAACTAGCTAAGAGGTGCATCACTGTGGAAATAACCCTTATAACATTCCTTGTTGGTTCTTTATACAAGGCAAGTCTTCCATGCCTTGGTTCCCAGGAAGGTCTGAAACCTGAGCTGTGAATGCCTGCAGGCACTAGAGGAACACAAGTCCTCTGACAAATGGGGCTTCTGGCTGGTAGCAACCATAACCCAGCTTGGGTTGTCTTGTTCTCCCTCCTTCTGCCCTCTGTGTCCAGATGGATCCTGACTAAAAGCAGCTGTGGTCTTATTTTACCAGTGCTGGCCCCATATGATTTTTATTTTTGGAGTGTGGACCACACTTTAATAGAGAGTAAAGCATCTCAAACACCTTAGTTCCTAGCACAACCCTTGCATCATCTGTACAGCACTCTCCTGGCAATGGCTGTGATTGCTTATATGGAATAGTCCCATTAAAGAAGTGTTTTATCAGTGGACTTAGGTTTTATTTTTCAAACTTGATTTGACAGGATGAACCAGTGCTGCAAATCTCTGAGGCCCTCTGGCAGGCATTTCCAAGACCCCTGCTTGGCTCTGAGTTGCTCTTTGAGGTCTTCCACACAGTGTTTTAGCCCCTCTCAATGCTCCTCCCTGGGAACCTGTCTCTAGGGCCCACTTGCTTGCTGCAGAGATGGTTTTCTAACTGCATTTGGTTTTATGGTCCTAACACCAGGCTTTACTACTGTGAGATAATTAGAGCAAATCCCTTCCTTCGCTTATATTGTTCCCTTGAAGGTATTTGTAGGCAGAATGCTTGTCCTTGCTGAACAGTCCCTTTTCTTCCCTCTGCAGTCTCTCTCTGTACCTCCTTGGATTCCTTCCATCAGCTATGCAGAACGTTGCATAGTTGGGTGAGTCTTCCACTCCTCTGATCTTCCTTTGGGACCGGGATCAGGACTCCAGAGAAACCCCGTCTTGCTGAGGGGCAGGCAAGGGGCTGCTGCCACCCCCCAGACATGCTGATCCTAAGGGGGTTCAGAGAGCACTGGGGGATTCTGGCTGATCCCTGCGTGGATGCTGGGACTGATCTTGGTGACAGCAAAGGGTGAAGGGACCAGGAGAGGAGGGAAAGCTGGGAGGTATGTGGCTGGGATACTCAGGAGGGTCTGCTCACCCCCCTCTTTCAATCTGTTGCTGTGGTGCCAGCAAACGACATTTAATGTGTCACCGATCAGATTCTACCTTTTCTGCCTCAAAAACACTCTTTGTGGCTGCTGTGGGTTGTTTCCCATAGCTTTGGCTTACAGGATCTTTGTTTTTTTTATTAAAAGAATTAAAATTGTTAACATTCTGATTAAATTAAACCAAACGGACTTTGTTCTCCCCTGGAAGCTGTTTGTGTAGCATCTGTTTTAAATAACTCTAAAACTCAGTCCATTCAACTGCGCAAAATAAAACCGTGAAATTACAATATTTGTTGCGATTTTCAAACGAATAAGTACATTTTAAAAGAAGTGGATTCAGACCATGCCCACCTCTCCCTGATGGAGTCCCCAGGAGCAGGTGTAGCCCCGTGCAGTCAGTCAGACGGATGTGGGCAAAACATATTAAAACAGCTTGATCATACGACTGTTTTGTCAGGTAAAAACCCGTCAGTAAGTAGAGTTTGCAGTGCTGGGCAGGGGGCAGGGCTGCAGAGATGAGTGAAAGCGTCCGTCCCTGTTCTGTGGGGGGAGCTGGAAGGGGCTCCCACCCGCTGGCCCCTCTGCTTTGGCCCCCTGGTTCCCAGCCCGGCTCCCTCCAGCCGCCTGCCCGTGCATCGCTTTCTCGTAACCTCCCGTGCCTCCTCCTCCGTGCGCGCCGGCGGGTCCCTGCCCTGCCCTGCCCGGCGGGACGGACTGAGGTAACTGTGCCCTGCTCTTCTGGGCGGCAGCTGGATGAGCCCTGGATGCCAGGAGGAGGAAAGTTAACCGTAAGTGAGTCACTCTCACCAGGGATAAGACAGCGCCTTCTCAGATGTTCGTGTCGCTAAGTTCAGCGCCAGCCCTGACGCGGGGCTGCCTCCCCCAGCACATCTCCATCTCCCGGCACCCGCTGGTGGGGCAGAGGCTGAGGGGCTGGAGGCACCTGGGGCTGGCACGTGTGCAAGCAGCGGCTTGCTGTGTAAAGCACAGGGGACCATTGCAAAACGTCGAGCCTTTCTCCAGCCTGCTTTGGTCCGGAGGGATTGGCGTGGAGGGTCACACACGCCTGGTGTTGAAGGATTATATTGCAGCTGTGCTTTTTTGGGGAAGGGCAGAGATCTCAGAGTTCTCATGTGCCTGTCTCCTGTGATTTCTTACTACTCCCATGTTTTCCCTTCCATCCTTTCTTCTGGGATTGCAAGAAAGGGACATGCCTCTGCACTGCAGGGGAAGCCAGGGGTTTTCTGCACATAAATTAACCCCTCTGATAGTCACAATATACTATAGGAGTGCAACAAGGGCCTGACTGTATGGAATCAGGTTCCCCTTAGCTCTCACAGAAAACAAACACACCTTAAGTGCTGTGGCCCCCTGCTTCCCTCCCTAGGATGCTGGCAGCAAAGGAAGCACCTTGTCACCAGCACCCCTTATTCTGATGGGCTCCGTCACAGCTTGCAAGCCAGAGTCCTGACCTCACCAGTCCCCTGTTCCAGGGAGGTTGCAGGTCTGTGTGATGTGCTGCCAGCCTGATTTGGGGAGCAACATGTCCTCTCCACCCTGCCCACAGTCTTGCTGTGTGCAGACAGCATCATGGGGAGTACGTGAATGCGTAGCCCTAAATACAGGGGACACTGGTACCAAACGCTCCCCTGGTAACGCACCCAGTTAATCTACTACTTTTACAGTCAGCAGTATAATGTTAAGATGTCACCTTCTGACCTGTGCTAGTGCTCCAATTTTCTTTTATTCCCTCACAGGGGCAGCGCTAAGATGAAGCTTCCACCTAGGCAAGGCACAGGACTGTTGTACTTTCTCCTGACTTTGGCTTCTCTCTGCCTTTCCATCCCACTGTGGAAGGACCGGGACTCCCTAATGCAGGAGGAGAAAGCCCACCAGACAGGTGGCAATTTGGTGCTGAGTAGACAGGAACAGCAGCTCAGCACAAAGCTTGTAAACCTCAAGGAGGAGGAGGTTGCAGCAGCCGTGGCTACGGGGCAGTTCCCTCCAAGCATGCACTTCTTTCGGGCCAAAGGCCTCATTGACGGGAGCACCGTGTTCCGCATCTTGCGGCGCATGCCCAAAGGTAGGCCTGGCCCCAGGGCTGCTGGTCGTGCCCATCCTCCTCTGGTCTTTCACTTTCTGTGCCAGAGCTGGGACAAAGCATGAGGTTGGTTTAAGGCAAGTTTGAGAGCTGTAAATTATGCTTGCTGGGTTCCAGGAAGAGCCCTGCCTCTGAGCTCGGGTATGGGACGAGGTAGAGAGGAAGAGGGGGATGAATTGAATGAATACACATTTCCAGCAATTGTAGCATTTGCTGTAACTACAATATGGAACCTTGAGCCTTTCAAGCGTGGAGAAAAGGCAGAGGAAGCAAAGACAACAAGACATCAAACACTCATATTTGTTCAGCATGTTCCAGCCAGGGCCTATCCTTTTTCCATGCATAGCACAGGTGTGCTACCAGCCTTGCCTTAGCCCACTTCTTGGCCAAAAATGCTGTATGCCCCAATAAGTTTTTGAGCAGGTGGTTTTGTAACAGGGCTGGAAGTCTACTAGGAAGTCTGGGGGCACTAGAGGAAGGTGCTACCTCCCACATAGCAAGATTTTTGACTTGTGGAATGGAAGTCAAGCCTGTGTTCATGTGGCCTTCAGAACATGATAAAGAAACTGTTGCATTCCCTCACTTAGTCTTCTTAATCAGGTTCTCTTCTGTGCACTTACAGGACATCTCTTATCAGGACAGGCATTTCTCCTCTTGTCTTTAGAGATGTCATTTCTTTCCTGTGGTGCAGCAATCTCTGTTCTGTTGTGCTGCTATGCCCTATACCAAACCAACCCAATACCAAGTTTTTAAGGCATTTGAATAATGTATTTGAATAATTTAAATAATGGTATAAATTTGTCAAATACCTTTACCACATCGCCCTGTGCATCCTCTGATAAGCAGGTGGGATACAGCAGCATTTGAAAACTCAGTGTTCCAGGTTGTGATGGAAAGGAGGAGAGAAGATTTTTAGCCAAGTGGAAGTCCAAGTCACCTACGATATGTAGCAGAAAGCTTGTGTTCATGTCCCTTAGCCACTGACAGTTCAGTGGAGAAGCAAGAGGTTCAGATGATCACAAGAGGAAGGCTTTGACTCCTACCTGATTAGTTTCTCCCTCTGCATCTTTGATTCAGTAAGGAAGAATTTGAACAAGGTGCCTTCTTCAACTAAAGATGTAAGAGAGTTGCAGCAGACGTTGCCAATACCCCCATGGCTCTGAACACTATGTCCACCCTTCCAGGTGTTCCCTCTTTAGATACAGAGTCCTATCACCTTGTCCACATACCTGCCTGGAAATAGGTTGATGACCTGCTTTTGAAGACTTTGGAAACAAGTTCCTCCACAGAAGCATGTTTTACTTGCAAGGCTGTGACACTGGCACATGGATAAGAGCTATCTTCCTCACTTCCCAGCTTCTCTTTCCCAGCCTCTGGTGTGGGATGAGGATCCCTGGCTTGCAGCTTTCTAATCCATTACCAAAAATGACTGGCGTGTCAGAGCATGCATTACCCTTTCGTTGCTGAATTGAACAATAAGGAATTTAAAAGTACCCTCCTCTTCAATGGAGTACCTTTGATACAAAGAAGGAAACAAAACAAAAACAATTAACTTTTCAATCCAGGAGATGCCAAAATGGATTCTCAGAATCTTTGCAAGAGCTGTAAGCTTTTAGGGCCGAGATCACATCCTTTTAACTCTTTCAGTAGAACTGAGTTTTAGAGTTTCAGTCTTGATCAGAGCCCTTTGGGAACTGCTGTTGTTTCAAGGACTTCTGTAATTTCTGTTGCTGTTCACATAGGAAAGTGGTCTAGACATTTGTGGTATGTCCATTCTGTCAACATAGCTCTGGTGAAAGCAGTAACTACAGTTGCCCAGCATCTAAACACTCAGACCCTCTATAGTGAGAGATGATAGGCATTACAGCCTGTATTAGATTAGTCCACTATAGATTGTAGTCTTGAATTTTGCCTAATGTCACACGCATGTCAGTCTTCTCTTTTGTTCCTCCTACTCATGTTCTCCCTTTTCCCTCCACTAAGGGCATCAAAGCTATTTTGACTATGAGGTCTCCCCTAGGCTAATAAAATACATACATGTAAGACTTCAGCTCTCTCACAATACCTTCCCTTAACAAAGGTGAAGCTTAGTTCAAGCACAAGTAACAGCAGAAGTCTTTGCAAAAGGAGAGATTTTAGCAAAACAAAAGGATGGGCTGAGGAAGGTGAGCATGCAGAGGATGCTTCCTGTGCCAGGAAGACTGGCAGTTGCCATCATACTGCACAATAACAGAGCATCCCAAAGGCCCTTTATGCTGACCAGCAACAGATGTACAATGTAAGCAAGGACACTTTTGATAAGGGATAGAAATAGATGATACTTCTGCATGTGAGTACAATTCCCTGGTGTGTCATGGCCTGGGATTTTGGTGTATGCCAGAGTTTCAAAGAGATGACAGAAGAGACAGAGACCAGATGCAAAAAAAATATTTAAAAATGAGGCTGGGATTCAAACAGCACAGGTACAGAGGCTTGCTTCAGGTCTGCCACTCAGCCAGCATGCCTTGTAAACTGCTGCCTACTGTGCGAGTTCCTCTTTAAATCAGTGGGGCCTGAGCCAGCTCACAGCAAAGTCTGTCTAAAAGACCTTTAATATCTTGAAGTATTTTCCATCCCAGTAGAGATGCAGAGTTCCCTACTGATTTCCCTCCTCCCTTTGCTCCCAGGGAGCCTTCACACTCTGCCTGCCCCACGTTTGATGTGTAGGGGGCCACATCCCCCAGCATGGGGGAGGCAGAGCAGCCACTCCATCTCTCTGCTCGCAGAGGACACTCACAGCTATCTAGAAGCACTTCTAGATGCCCCTGGATAGCCAGACTTGAAATATTGCCACATTAAAACTCCATTCCTTCTTTTCAACCACTTTGTGTCATTGGGATATACTTTTCTTCCCACCAGGTGCTGTCTTACACCTGCACGACTACGCCATCCTGAGCGTGGACTGGCTGGTGTACAATGCCACCTACCTCCCCAACTGCTACATCTGCTTCACCAACACAGGCACCGTTCGATTTCGCTTTTCCAAGCCTTACCCTCCTCATCCAGTACCAGCCCAGTGTTCCCAGTGGGTTTTGCTGGAGACCTACCGTAAACAGCTGCGCAACGTGACCGAGTTTGATAGCAGGTGAGTGAAGAGGGAGTTGTGAGCCTGGCAGTACTTCACAATAGCCTTGTGTATCCAACAGGGTTGTTCTGGTCCAACTTTCCCATTTGCTTGCTGCTCTGAAAGTGGGAAATTGTTTCAGGCTGCATACATAGAACAAGCCAATAGTAATATAAGACTTTCAAGGTTGCAGCACTGAGTACACCATAGTTAGAAACCATAAAAATTGAAGTTTCCTGTGCACCCTCACTCTGGTCCTTCACACAGACATGCTGAAGACAGGGGCTTAAGTAGATTTATGTGACCTGCCCCCACCACTCCTCAGCACCCAGGCTAGATTTGCTCCCAACATGGGACAGGGCTGCATTGTGAAAGACCTTGCCTCATCCATTGAGGTGCCCTGGAACAGGATAAGGAAGTCAGGTAACTGAGGAACAGGCTCTCCCCAACAGCAAAGAAGGCATTTGTGAAGTCATCATCTTGGGCAAACTATTTATGTTAGCTAATGCACTCACAAAAGAAATCCAAAGCAACCCAAGGAACCACCCAACCCAGCCTCCCCATTCTTGTCTTCTGAGAGGTCTCTTCAAAACCCCACTAGGACCCACCACACTGAAGTGTGGGGATGAGACACATTCTCAACAGGACCCTCAGGCATCAAGAACTGCAACTTGCCCTCCTACCCTCAGACAACAGGTTAGGTCTCAGCCTGGGCACTGGCTGAGCCAACAAACCCTACACACAGGTCCTCCCTGGTAGCGCTCCTCCCTCAACACCCCCCTGCTAACAAAGCTTCTCCCATTTTGGGGGAGGCCCCCTATACCTGTCCAGAAGCTCACACCTAAGATAGCTCCCAAAAGCACTGCTCACTCTCTTCCAGGAGCTCCTCACCCTTAGCTGCTGGCAGCCTTTTATCAGGACCAGGTGTTAGTTGGCTGCTCAGCAGCCACTTAACCATTTAATCACTTACTTGTGGGTGGGAATGGTTTGGTTCCCTCTCCAGCCAGTGGTGTTAGAATCAGGAAGCCATGTCTCCCCATTCAGGGGCCATGGATCCCAGGGAAAAATCCTGCCAAAAAGGTCCAGAGGAAGCATGTAGTTCTGCATGGTGTGTGGTGGGCTGGAGAGAGCAAGCTAAATAATGCGTAGAGTCAGACACTGAGTGATGAGGACAAAGGAAAATACTGAGTAGCGATCCACTCAGAGGGCACCGCTGTCCTCAGCGCTCCAGGGGACTGGGGTCCCACGGGAAAAAATACTGGGGGGTGTCATGTAATTAAAGACAGTATTGCCATGCTGACACACAAGGGGAGGGCTGGATTAAGAAGATATGGGTGACTGTAATCATGGCATTTCCTAAGTGAAACTTCATGTATTTTTACTGTAGTGCTCTTCAGTAAGAGTGTGTGCTCTTAAATAGAGACCTATTAACACTTAGGGAGCTGCTGTCCCCTCCACATGGAAGCTGTCTGGGCTTTACAGATTTGGGAAGGAGGTGAGGTTGGGCTGAGGAACTGCCAGACCTTTGGCATGGTATTGCCTTCTCTATCCAACCACATGAAGAGACAAGGCAGAGGGAAACTGACTCTCCAGGGCATCTGCTGCCACACTCCAGCACAGATCTCAGCACGTCCACAAGGGAAGGAGAAGGTACTGCCAGTCCCAAGGTTCCTGACTTTTTGTACTCTGAGGCTTAACTGCCCTGACATGATGGAATAAATAAGATCCAGTGAGAAGTCACTTACACCTTCCAAAGAGAAAACTGGTTCTCCATTAGCTCCCTTCCATTTCCACTGGGACTGATGATGAGGGAAATATCGTGGCACCAGCTCTCTTCAGCCCCACCAGAAGACCCATAAATAATGTGCAAGAGACTGGATTTTGAAAGAGCTTCACTTCCTGCAAGCCCAAGCAATCGCACTGAGTATTTCAAAACTGCCTCAAGAGCAACCCTTTGTTGTATTTGGTTTTGGTTGTACTTCCATAGACTGACATCTCTTTCTGGCTGGGGCTAGAGGCCCTGCCACCCTGTACACCTGGGTGGGTGGAGCTGCTTGTTGGTTCCCTGTGGTCCTGTTTGGGAACACCACTTTTCAGAGGCAGTGTTATCACATGCCTCTTCTTTTGTATTAGTTGTCTGGCAGTGCCTAGTAGCCACAAGTCAGAGCAGGACTTCAAGGTGGCAGGCACTGCACAGGGACACAAGACAGACCCCCCAAAAAAGGACCTCCCCAAAAGCAAAGCAAGGCAAACCAAGCCCCAAACCAAGGCAGAGACCAATTAGGTGATTTTCCTCAGCAAATGCGTGCTAGAGCCAAGTACAGACTTGGATCTCTTGCATCCTGGGTGATCAGGCTTACTCATTTGACTATGTTGCCCTTCATTTCTTGCCCTTCTATGCCCATCACCACAAAATCACAGGGGAGTCATTGAACATAATTTGCAAACACATGAACAACAGCCACATTGAGGCGCTTCCCCTCCTATTTTTGTCTAATCCCTGGGTACTAGTCTAGGGGTTAGGAATGTTTTTTGGCCGCCTGGAAATAGGTCTCTAGCCAGGAATAGGCCCCAATCTGTTCTGCTTCTCAGTTTCTGGAAACTCTCCCAGTCTCTTGAACATGTGCATCCCAGGCTACCTCTTTCCTGCACTCTTCTTTGCCCTTGAGCACTGACAAACTGAGAGAAAGCAGATGTCAGAGGAAGGAACGGATGGATAGTTGGGTGGTTTCAAGAAAGTATCAAGGGAATATGGCAGCAGGGAAGGGCTCTCATGCAAGACAGGGTAGATCAGCAAATGTGAAGGGAACAATGGGAATGTTTCTGAGAGGATGCACCTCTTTCACCTCAGTGCATTCCTAGCCAGGAAAAGATGGGGGAAAGAGGTAACTGCATTACGTTTTTGCTGTTTGCATTTTTAGGTACATATGCATACGTATGGGTGTGTGTTTTGGAAGGAAGTCTTTTTGTTTGTTTCCCTCAAAAGAAGGTTTAATCATTCCTATTCAAAACTCACATCCTATGAGCCAAGACCCCAGAGTATTCTGTTATTGGTGGGCTTCCAAAAGGATGCTATTATGAGAGCCAGGAGACCATGGGCCAGGAGACAGTGAAAGGAAGGGAATTTTGCTTTGAGACCTAGAAGAAAAAAATATCTCAATTTATTTACTTTACAATCTGTTACAATATAGGAGAATGCAATTTTTTTTCCTCAAGATGCAACATAATGGCCACAGCCTCTAAGGCAAGAGCCTGCCCCTAGATATTTAGGGAAACAACGTTGACATTCCAGATATTTGTAAAATACCACTGCACACCCTCCCCCGCCAGCAGCCTGAGGATTAAGGCTGTGGCCAGCAGCACAGCTCCAGCAGCCCAGTGGAGCTTTCTATCACCAGGATGAAATCATCTCTGAGGGAGCTGACACCGTGGCCGAGGCTACAGGGATAACTCCCCTGGGCACTAATGGCTGCCCAGACCACCATCACCTTCCCCTCTGTATCCCCCAACTGCCTTATCTCACAGAGAAATGGGGCAGTGTGTGCATTACAAGGGAGGGAAAAAAATAATTAAAAAAAAAAAAGAGAGAGAGAATAAAAATCCACTACAGAAACAAAGCACTCTGCTCCCTCTACAAGTCTCCCCTTGGGGAGGAGAAGAAGAGGGGACGAGAGAGAGAGAGAAAGCGAATGAACCACATGTGACAGATGTTAGTCACACTATTTAATGCACCACTGGAAGACATTCAGATACTATGGTGAGGAGAGGGGTATAATTACCCATCGAGAACAGAAAAAGAAGCAAGAAAAAGAATCCCTTTAAAAACAAGGCAACAAAACCCTTTGCTTCTGCATTATATAGCACAAGAAAGCAAAGCAGTTAGGGTAAAAAAAACAAAACAGGAAAAGAGAAAGCAAAACGACAGCTGAAAATAAGTAATCCTTAGCTGGTCGTTTTAGCTGTGCCCCTTTGGGCATATGGATTGCAATAGCATTGTTCAGTGCATATATGACATGACATGGAAGGCTATTTGTAGTCTGCACCTGATCACTGGCGAGGGCCCACTCCAGAAAAGAAGCAAAAAATGTGTTTACGAAGCTTTGCTTCATCTGCATGAGCTGCTGATGACAAAAGCCCCTGAACCCCTAGGAGATTATCCAGTTATCAAGGATGGATCACTATGACGCAATAAATCTTCGACAGCTATAGGGATCAATAATCAGTCTCAAAGGGAAGGGGATTATAAAAAAAGCACGACTTGATTTATGTGCTTTTAGGAGCTGGGCAGTGTGGGGATTTATTGATGTTTCTAGCCCAAGAGCACAGGCTAAGTAAACAACCACAAGTTTGTACAGCTAGATTTAAGGGCAGGGAAGGGAGCCCTGTGCACGCTCGTTGCTGAAGGAGCCGAGTTCTCACAGGACAAAGGGAGAAGGCAGTGGGAGCCCAACTAACCGCCCAGCCTTATCTGAAAGGGAGCTGCGTGGGGTGGCGAGAACGGGCTTGCATGGCCTTTTGATCCACAGGGAGGTTTTTTTCCCTAGGTGCTTGCAGAGCTGGTGGGAACAGCCCCGTTCGGCTCTCGGCTTCAGGCAGGTGCTACCGCTGGTATGTGGGCTTGGCGAGGAGCTGCCCTTTGGGCCAGGAGGGGAGCGGAAAAGTCTCTTTTCCCCAGCTCTTCCCACATGAAACTTCCTCTCCCCTCCCCGCCGAGCTGCAGCTCAGCTTTTCTGCTGGCAGTTGGCCTCCTCCTCAGCTCCAGCAGCTGGATCAGCACCTTCATGATGCCCCTGGCTCCTGCATTCCTGGTTTCTAGGGTGATGCTGCGGTGTCTCCCGCTGCTGTGTGCTCCCCACTGCCTGCTGGAAACGCTGCCTGCCCCTGCCATGGTCCAGCTCAGCCCCCTTCGGTTGCATGGATTACTGAGCAGTAGCTGGGGTCCCCCAGTGTCCTGTGATAATGGCACCAAAGCCCCTATTGTAATGCGGAGGAGGGCAGAGGGAGTTGCTGTGGAAACCTTAACTCTGAATTTTCCTGGCTGTTGAGCATTTAAAATCTCATCCTTAATGGGGCACGAGCATCTCTTCGTGTACAGTTTTGCTTCTAAAATTGCTCCCAGCAAAGAAATTAACAGAGTGAAGAAGAAATTAAACTGTAGCCGCTGGAAGGTGGTCCTTAGAGAATGAAACAGCAGGCAGATGCTGAGAGGATGGGCTCTGTTTCATGGGTAGGATGGAGTGACTCAAAAGGAATGTCCCTGCCTGAGAAGTCTTAATTTATGAGTTTGGACCAGATCACATTTTACATCTGTGGCAGGGAGGTTTTTCATTCCATCCACAGAAGTCTCCTGGAAGAAGATAATAAGAGCACAAATCAAGCCCACACCTCCCATATAACAGAGCAGAGCACTGCATGAGAATGGGGCCAAAACATCAAACACAAAACATTATTAAAGATTAGTAGCTGTTACCAAGAGGAAACAATATAATTGGGTGAAAGATGAAGCATGGTTGAAGGCATTTCTTTCTGAACCTGCTTAGTCCCTGATGCTAAATAAGCATCAGGCCTGGCCAGACTGGCAAGCCCACCTCCCTGCAAGCAACCACCTCTGTAGCTTACTGCAATGGCTTCAGTTTGTCCGCCCAGGAATGAAGTTAATTACCCCTGTATTGCCATTTAGACTTTGCCAGCCAGCCTGGGAAATTTATTATGAGCTCCTCTTCAGGTGGACACCAGTGGTTGGAGGAGAGCTGTTGCCAGAGGCAAGGCTTTGGGCGGGATGAAGGCTATAAGCTTGTCAGAGGACAGTGTTGTAGCACAGATGCTCACCTTGTCCTGAGTGCAAGATGTAGCCCACAACTAGATAATCATGCTATGACTGGCTCCCTGAAACTCTGCTTGACAAAACTACCCACCACCTCTCTGGATTTCTGAAAGAAGCTTATACACCAGCTGAGCCTATGGAGGAAATAAATATGTTTCCTTCTCACTAAGGAAAAGCCAGGACCTGCAATTCTTGCCAGTTGTTCCCAGCAGATGAATCTGAAGAACTTGTCTGCAAGGCAAGCAGGATATTGGGTTTGGTCCACTGGGGGAGAAAGGACTTCTGATTCACAGTGATTTCCCCCATTTATATTAGATGATGTATTTTGACAATATAAAGTACAAGGGCAAGTCATAGACTTAGTAAGCAGGTGGCAGAAAAGTTACCTGAATGCTTCCTAGTTGCACCATACATTGTTGGGCCCATTGTACTGCAGCTACTACAGGCTCTGAGTTAGATCCTAGTCCCTTATTGTGGCAGGAATGTCTCTGCACCTTGTCTAGGTCCTGCCCGAAGAACATGTGCCTCCTTCAGCACAGCCACTGCTCTGCTGCAGCCCAGAGCATGAGGGCTGTAGAGTGTCATGTCCACAAAGCTTGGCTGCTGACAGTAAAACTCACATCTATCTTGGAGGAGACCTATTTCCTCCTGCACTGAACACCCAGGTGCCAGCCAGGGTTTTTTTGCATGCTGAAAGCCAGTTGCCATGTTCTTCTCATTCCTCCTCTTCTCTTTACCCTTTTGTACAGCTTGCTGAGAAACTTGACCCTGGTGACAGAGAACCCTGAGCTGGCCTACCCTTCTCAGGCTTTCATCTGGAAAAGATTTGAAGAAGTCTTTCTCATTGTCTCTGGACTTATCTGCTATGCACCTGTGTTCAAGGCCTATTTCTACCAGGGGCTGCTGGAGCTCTATGAAGATAATGTACAGTATGTTGAGATAAGAGCCATCCTGCCTACGGTACGTATTTTTTGGCTTCCATAATATTCTCCATAACTTTTCTCAAGCCCTATCTTGAATTTATTTTTTGAATGTTTGCATACCTGCCCTTTTAAGGATGCTGGAAAACCTTGATCATATTCAAAGGTCTTTGTTGGAGATTTGCATAGGCAAGGGCTTGAAAGTGAGAGACGCTTTGTTCTTAATGGCTAAGGAAGATACCAGCTGTGGCAACAGTACAAAACTCCATTGTATAGTCTGACTGGGAGCTGTGTCAAAATCTTGCTGGTTGGGAAGACGTATCTCAGCTTTTTTCTGCACCAGAATCACCTGTTGGGTCTTCTGGGACAATTTCTCATCTTGAATAGAGTTGTATTCTGGAATAGCTATGTTATTTTAAATCCATGGCTTATTTCAGAAGGATTTATCTGAACAGGCTAGTAAACTGATTAGCAAAGCAGAGTCTTTCACAGTTTGCAGACAACCTAAAATTTTGGGTATGTATGTGAAGTTTGAGTTGCTCCTTTCATCACCACTAATGCTAAAATCTCTTGGTAATAGTTATGGCCCTTCTCCCTGCATATTACCTGGAGCTTCTCAGGTTGCCCTATAATCCCATGCTGCCCCAATGCCTTCCCAAACACCAGCAGACCCCACCCATTGTTCTTTGGCTATAATGGTTACCACTTTCTCAGTGGCAGTTTCTACACAGCAGGCACACCTGTTCCATACAGTTCTCCAGCCCAGCTGCAAGCAGGGTGGCATGTGGGTGGGAGCTCTGTCAGAGAGGAAGATGCCTTATTGAAACAAACGAGCCTGGGCCATTGCTCCTTGCTACACCACCTGCCTCCATATTCTTAACAGTCCATTGCAACAGGAATGATGCTGCTGTGTAAGGTACATCTGGCAGCACCTGCAGGACCAGGCAGTGGTGGTGAGTCGTGCATGGGAATGCAGGCAGCAGCTTGCTGCTGGCACTGTAGTGTCCACCAGATAGAGCAGCCATGCTGATGTCTTGCTGGTGGCCTGACTCCCAAACGTGCCTGCCAGCAACTTCCTTAAATCATTTGCCTTCCATGCAATTGCTGGTGGGCTCCAGCCAGCTGCAGATGAATGTCTGTGATCCAGCAACCGCCACTGCTGCTGGGCAGGCCTCTGCAGCCACCCTGTCAGCAGACAGGCAGGTGGTGTGACAAATTTGGAGGCTGATCTGACTTTGTGCATGCTCCTCCCTTCAACAGCTGGGCAGCGGGGCAGCTAGCCCTGCCCTGTTGTGGCTCAGGCTGGTGCCATAGCAAAATATGGCTCCGTGTCAGGGCTGCAGGCTGGCACTCATCATGCCTGAGATGAAAAGGGTGTATTGGAGACAAAAAAAAAACAACAGAGGAGGAGAAGACCACAAAGCTTATACATATCTTTGCTGGGGGTTGGTCATGAGCCAGCTGCTCTGAACTCAGTCACAATCTGTCTTTGGGGTACCTGGAAAGAGAAAATAACAGCAACGTCAAAATTCCTGTGCTGTGAGACAGCAAGAACGCTGGCAGCCCCCCAGGTCACACAGGTTTCCGGGCCAAGAGTATCTGCGATGATATGAGTGTGTGGGCCTGACTGGAAAATACCCTGCATTTACCAGCAGCCCTTAGACATGGTTGTAATGTCTTTTGAAGAGTGGCTTGGACGGGGTCAAGTTTACACTTATTGCTTAATGTTAATTACTGCTGAGTACCCGTGGGGGTGTGGCTGAGCAAGGCGTCTTGGGCTACGGTGGGTGTGCCT